TTATTTATTTGATTTTTCTCTTGTTTCTTGAGGTAAGCTTGTATTGCTATGAACCTTCCCCTTAGCATTGCTTTTACTGAACCCCATAGGTTTTGGGTTGCAACTTCCCATTCTTAAAACTAAAAAATTAGAGATTACTTTCTAAAGACATGCTCCTGGGTCAATAGACATCACCATATACTCATGTTATAGTAATCTTTCATATATTTTTTTAGTACAAGACCTACTGGTTAAGAACAAGGGCTTTAATGGCCTGTGGTCATAAAATCCTAGACAAATCACTGAACTCTAAGGATCTCAGTATCATATTTTTAAAATGAAGATATCTCTACCTTTCAGAGGATGGGTATGATTAAACTAGATAATACATGTAAAGTGCTTAACAGAGAGTCCAGTACATAGAACTCTTTCAGTAACCGGGGCATATACTATTTTTTTAGGATGTAGGAATTAGTACTTTAGAAGAAATTCCACAGTAATGTATTCAAACATTAGTTCTGAGTAATATCATTTCATGTCACTCAATTCACCTGAGAACAGGTCAAAATAAACTTTGCAGATTTTAGGTTTCCACTCCCCGCCCCCATTAATTCTTACTAGTTGACCAGAAGCTTTTTTACCCTAGCCCATGGTGAAAGTTATTTCAACTTCACATTAACTAAAATGGTTATTATCAAAAATGTTACAATTACTATCACAATTCTCTTTTGGGGAAATACTTTACCAGTAAAGAAGTCATCATAAAGACTATACTATATCATACTGAATTGCTTGATGAGAAAGTTATTTCTCATTCAATTCTCTTTTAGTCCTTCTGATTATGCCAAGGAGAAAATGTCAGTTTGAGGTTGCTGGTCTTTAATGTTTAACATTTGTAAATTTAACTTTTTATCAACAGAGCATAACTCACCTCAGAGCTTCTAAAGGCTAGAAAATTCAATAAATATGTATTTTTCCTTGCCCTTTTTTTTTTTTTTTTAATTTTTGGCAGCCATTCCCATTT